CCCTGGGTCTGAGGGAGGAGGCTGGGCCTGGACCTTGAATTCTCCAGGGAACCCTTCCCTGGGAACGCACAGTTGGGGTGGGATTCTGGTATCAGTGGAGAGGAACTCAGAGGCATTCCCGCTGTGGGCAGTGTGGGGTGGGGTCCCTTGGGGWCTGAGGGGTAAAAGACCCTCTCTGAAGCTCCCATGTCGTCCCTCCCAGGGGAAATTCATCCGCATCAACTTTGACGTTGCTGGGTACATCGTGGGCGCCAACATCGAGACCTGTATCCTCTCACAGCCCTGAGGGGTGCCCGGGAGGACCTGGGGTGGCCGAGGAAGGTGGCCCTTTGAATGTGGACCGTACAGGAGGCARACTCCAGTGCAGGGCTGCCACCCCCCACTTCCTGAGCTCAGATGCAGTGTCTCTGGCGTAGGCAGCAGGGTGTGGGTGGCTGCTGGTCTTGCAGGTGCTGGGCTAGGGGTCCTCATGCCCACCCACCTCCAGTGATGGACTGGAAGGATCCCCAGACTCAGCTGCAGAGCCCTCGGTTGGCTGTGGCTCACCACAGTGAAGAGGTGCCAAGCAAAGTCAGGAGGKGGAGATGGCTCTGGGGGCCAAATCCAGGGAAGCCAGCTAGAGCTTCCAGAACCCTCTCTCAGTGGAGACACTCGAGATGTCTCCTGCGGTGAGGTATGATGACTGCGTCGGGTGTTGTCCAGCCTCAGAGTCTTGGGTGCAGGGTTGTTAGGGGGGCTAGTCACATGGCCCTCCCTGCCTAGCATGTGCCCAAATCCCCAACTCCTAGAAGGATGGCAGGTGTTCAGTGCAGACCACACAGATGCCCCAAACATCCAGTCCCAGTGAGCCCCTCCTCAAATAGGGAATGCCAGGGACCCTCCCAGAATCTGGGTTCCCAGGCGCCAGCCCACCTTGCCAGCAGGCCTTACAAGGAGAGGCCTCGGGCTGCCCTGTCTCGCTGCCCTGTCACGCTGCCCTGCACGGCTGGCATGCAGCGCTCAAAGGAATTTCCAGGATGAGACACCAGCCCTCCAGGAGGGCAGAAGGAAGAGAAAGGGAGTCACACCTCCTGGCTTACATACCGCTCCGAGGCTTTGCAGCTGCACCTTGGCCACTCCATTTGCACACCTTCTGCCTCAGTGTCTCCTTCTGTAGGCAGAAAAGGAGCACAGAACCTGCCTCAAGGGGCTCGGAGGACTGTGTGAGTCACAGCTTAGCGAGGGAGCCCACCGCATAGAAAGAGCCATCGTTGCCAGCCATTCATGACTACAGTAGTTAGCCCTGCGCTGAGGGTGATAATCGATTGACAACCATACAGCAATAACACCACCAACTGTGAATAAGAAGCCACACCCCCACCTTCAGGCTGGCTCCCCGCACCTGGGGAAAGGGTCTCTGGTCAGGCCAGACCAGGTGCTTCTGGGTGCTTCCTGCCTGGCAGGTCATTTTCTCTGGCAGCAGCTCACTCAGAGGTGGTATTTTTAAGCCCCTTGAGCAGATGAGGAAACTGAGGCGTGAGTGCTTAGGTGACATGTCCAAGTCCACTTACCCAGTTAGTGGCACAGTCACTAGCCRGGCTGCAGGTGACTCCACAGCTTTGCAGGGGTACGTGGGCTGGGGGWCCCCTGTCTTGGCCTGGCAACACCCAGGGCTCCTGGGCTCCCTCCTGTCTCTGGYTCCTTGACTCGCCTCCCCTGAGACCTGCTGGAGAAGTCCCGCGCCATCCGCCAGGCCAAGGACGAGTGCAGCTTCCACATCTTCTACCAGCTGCTCGGGGGCGCTGGGGAGCAGCTCAAGGGTCAGCGCACCCCCAGCCCTGCCCAGCCCTGCCCAGCGCTGCTCACAGGGAGGGGTGGGAGCCGTTGGGGGCCGGGGAGGAAGGAGCAGGACGCTCCCKTGCGGCCCTTGCGGCGTGTCGGGTCCTGGGTGGATTCTGCTGCCCTCTGGTTCCAGCTCTCTCCTGACTCTCGCTCCCGCTCGCTGTCCTGGCTCGTGGCTCCGCTGCCTCCTGGCCCCTGCTCCTCCTGGCTGCGTGGCCCCGTGGCTCCTGCTCACACTTCTGACGCTGCGGGCTCCGCTGGCTGTGGCTCCTCTGCCCCTGCTCACACAGCCAGGGTTACCCGGTGACTCCGGCTCTGCTGTGGCTCCGGCTGCCTCTTGCCTCCTGATGGTCCTGGTGTGTGCCCCTCTCRGCTCCTGCGGCCACGCCCCCTCCGCGCCTGTCCCCCACTGCCTGGCGGCTCCTTCCCATTTCTGCTCTTTCACCCTGTAGCTGGCTTGTGCTTCCTCTTGCTCCTGCTGCCACATGGCCCTTCRTCACTCAGGGCCACTCTCTGTGGCRTCTGAAGCCACACGTCCTCTGGTGCTGGTGCTCACCTCCCATGGCCTCTGTAACTCTCATTCCCAGCCCCGCTGCACCTGCCAGGGATAGCTCCTGCCTGATCCAGGAGCACCCAGGAGGTGTCTRATGTGTGCTAACACCAGCTCCATGCCCAGCGCTTTCTGCCAAACCTGTGAGGGAAGGACCCTGTCCATGCAACAGAGGGGAGGGCCTGGTCCCGGTCCACCATCAGGGGACCTGACTGTGGCTGACCCCTGACCTYGTCCCCCTCCTGCCCCCTGCAGCCGACCTCCTCCTGGAGCCCTGCTCCAACTACCGCTTCCTGACCAATGGGCCGTCATCCTCTCCGGGCCAGGAGCGGGAGCTGTTCCAGGAGACGCTGGAGTCCCTCCGGGTCCTGGGATTTGCCCCTGAGGAGATCACCTGTGAGTGAGCCCCAGCCCAAGGCCGGGGCMGAGGTGGGGGTGGGGGGCTGGCTCATCTGCTGAAGCATTTATCAAGTACAGGCCCTGGGGCCATGGACCCTGCCTTGGGGAGACTGACGGGCAGATAAACAAGGGTTTCTGTGGTCCACTAGAAGGTGATGAGAGCGTGGAGGAGAACAGACCAGGGGGCGGAGAGAGGGGCTGTGTCACCCGGGGCTCAGGAAGATGCCTGGAGATGGGGGTGTTTGAGCAACGAGGGAGGCGAGGAGGTGACCGTCAGAGATGCTGGGGGAGGGTGGMGGAAGCAGCCTGTGCCAAGGCCCTGGGGAAGGAAAGTGCCACACTGGAGGCCCTCAGTCCAGCGAGTCTCAGGCAGGTGAGGTGATGGCGCTGGTAGGGCCTCAAATGCTGGCCTCAGGGTTGGGGCTTGTGCTGGGGCTGCTGGGGCGCCCTGGGGACTCTGGGAGCAGGGACAGGATGAGGGCAGCTCTAGGAGAAGAAAGACGCCTTGGTGGCATGTGAGGACGCTCGAGTGGAGGGGTGGGGGCCACCTGGGACGCTGGCTGGCTGGGGTCTGCGGGCGGTCTGGGCGGGCCGGGGTGCTGGCAAAGCCCCCACCTTCTTCAGTGAGTGGTTTGTCCCGCCCGTGGCTCTGCATGTTGTGTGTTTGTCTGCTCCAACTGCGGTGACACAGAAATCGAGGCTCTGGCTGTTCCCAGACGTCTGGGACCCGGGRGTCCCCAGGCAGATTGGTTCCGTTTTCTGCCTCGGCCCTGCCCTGGCTGGCTTCTGGCAGCCACTGGCAATCTCGGGTTTTCCTCGGCCTGTGGAACCCTCACCCCGTCCGTCCGTCTCTGCCGTCGTGTTCACGTGGGGTTCTCCGGGTGTGTGTGTGTCCCAGATCCCCCTTCAAAGGACGGGGGTCACCCCGCAACCTCCTCTTAACTCAGTACATCTCAGTGACCTTGTTTCCACAAAGGTCAGTTCKGAGGACCTGGGGTTGGGCTTCCACACATCTTTTGTGTGTTTGGGGGTGTGGACCCTGTCGACCCAAGGCCCCAGGTGGGGAGATGGACTCCAGTGTTTTCAAGGTGGCCTAAGGTCTTGTGTCGGCTGAACGCTGAGTCTTTAGCAGAGCTGGGGAGGAAGATTCTCCTCTGGTCCCTGGCACTGTAGGAAGGAGCTGTTGTTGCTCGGGGTGGCAACGGGAGGTATGGAGTGCCGCTTGGCCCTCTACCCAGGCGGAACAGCTCGGCCTCTTTGGTCACATTGACACAGCCCTCCCCCGCCCCGCCAGAGTTTCCAGCCGGGTTGTGTAAGGCCCCAGCAGGCCTGTCCCAGCAGCTGGGCAGCTGGCAGACATGTCCAGCCCCAGCCCCATCCTGCAGGTCCTGGCTGACCCCTCCTGCCACCCCCTGCAGTGCAGTGAGCACAGCCAGCAGCTCTGATTTCTGCATTTCCAAAGCAAAAATTTTGGAGTAACCTGTGCCTTCAAGAGACATGGCCAGAATGGGGCCAAAGGTCAACTGAGAAATCCAAGTGTCCTTCCAGCCCTGGCCCTAGTTTCCCACCTGTCTCCTTCAGAAGTGCTTCAGACACATAACAAGACGTGTACAGCTGTACCCCTGTGTCCACGGCGTGCCAGCTCTCCCACGGGATGCCTGGGACCCTCACATAAAGTGGCACAGTGTTTTTATACAACCCATAGTCCCCGCCCACATGCTCTGAATCATCTCCAAATGACTTGCAATACCTAATATCAAAGAAAATGCTATGCAGATAGTTGTCACATTGTGTCACTTAGGGTTAACTGATGGGGAGAGTCTTTACGTGTTCAGTACAGGTGACACATTTTCTCATGTTTGACTCGAGTCTGGCCGAGTGTGCAGATGCGCTCTCTTTCAGTAGGGAGGCGCTCTCCGCCCCGGGCTGGCGTTGGCCGTGCTGCTGATAAAAATGCGATGCTGTCGTCTACTGCATTTTAAAGCTGGTTGTTCTAGGAGGGTGCCTGGCTCCCTGGCCTCCCACCAGGTCCCCAGGGCTTTCAGAGGCAGGCACTACAGGTTAGCACCTGGCAAGGCCGCCTGGCAGCTGGCCCAGCTTGGTGTGGTCTGGTCTTCTTGGTCTGGTCTTGGTCTGGTCTGGTCT